ATATTTACCAGCAAGACGTGGCGGGCGAGAATCGAGGGTGCCCTTGGGCCGAATTGGCACGGAGAGAGGGCCTTAAGGAGATCACGGCCCTCCTGACTGACCCCGCCGTGACAGAGTCATATGAGGAGAGATTGAAGAGGCTAGGCCTATTCAGTTTACAGAAGAGATGCTTGCGAGGGCACACAACAGGAGTTTACAAAATATTAGCAGGCGAAGAAAAAGTAGGTAGGGATTTATTATTTACACTCTCTCTCAATGCAAGGACTAGGAATCATAAAGTGAAACTAGAAGGTAGCTTTCAAATGAACCAAAGGGACTTTTTCACATAGCATGTAATTAAAGTGTGAAAATCATTGCCCCAAGATGTTGTGTATAACCAGATTCAAAAAGGGATTGTACACACTGTTTTAGACAAGGGGCATCAGTAGCTGTTGAGCATGAGAGTTAGGGGTACAGCCTCAGAACTTCCTAGACCTTAAATGCTGGAGGCTGCAAGTGAGAGAGGAACAGTGGGGAAAAAAAACTGGTCATAACCTGTTTACTCTCCCTTTCAGTATCCACTCTCTCCCATTGTGTGGTATGCGATACTGGGCAAGATGGACCTACGGTCTGACTCAGTGAATGTCAGTTCTTATGTTCACTGAAAACTCAAAAATTAAACATTTCAGCCCCAAATTGGAAGGTTGTCTGGTGGAAGTTTAGTGTCCTCAGATGGCCTGAAACCCCCAGGTAGACTACAGTGCTCACAATGCACTTTGCTCAGGGGAGGGACTCTCACACAACTTTCCCTCACCAAAAGGGGAAATACTGTAATGCTTTATAGGAGATACAGTGCTATTAATCTTGTTCAGAGCCAGATTGTTTCTAAGATGAGATGACACTCTCTGTGGAGGATTTAGCTTACCTAGTAGGAAAACATTAAGTCCTTCATTCTTGAAACTTTGGGCTTCAAAGACAGCAGTTACCAAAACAGGCATTTTAGTTTCCCTTTAAGTTTAAGCACGAATCCCAGAATTGAGACCAGTGGAGGTGGACTAATGCCATTCTGTTTTAGAACAAGCCAGGTACCATTTCTCCAGAGGTTGAATTGTTTGGATAGACCATTGTCAAAAACAGATGAGTAGGTTGTGAGATGAGTATCTTTAATTGTCCAGTAAGATCATGGCTCAAAATGTGAGACTAGATATGGAGTAATAACAACCTTCGTGTACTAGAAATACATGTTATGGTGGTTTTAAAAGAGCCTTTTTATAATTTTCATTTTGGATCTTTGGTATAAAGATGTTGAGGTTTTGAAGACATTGTAAAACTAAGATTTCTCTCTTTCCCTTCCTCTTTTTCAGGCCCCAGTATCTGATGCAGCAGGAGAAAAAGAACCCAAGTCTGAGTAATATCTTGTACCAAGTCTTTTATTGGTGGTCCCTGTATTTTCCTTCTTGTACAATTCAGAGGAATATTTTTATCAACTATTTTGTAAATGCAAGTTTTTTAGTAGTTCTAGAAAACACATTTTTAAAGAAGAGGGAATCCCAACACATCCCATTTTTTTACATATTTAGATAAGTGTAAATGCTTTTTTTAAGAGGTAAAATCATGTACCGGTTGTCTGTTTTCTGTGCAACCAGACATTAATGGAATGTGAGATTAGGGGGAGGCTTTGAAGTCTTGATTAGACTTAACATTCCATGAGCTGTGAGGGACAGTTTTTGTATCCTATTAAATGAAGCATAACACAGATTAAATTTTGGAATCATAATGGGTTGAAAATGTCTTAACATTTTAATTACATATCATCTATACCCACTGTATCATCAGTAGAATTACTTACCTAATAAAACTGCTCCCTGGTGTTGGATCTCCCTTTCAGAATTGTGTATTATCTGTGACAAAATTTATTTTTGGTAGTAGTAGTTTTATTTTTTTTAACAAGCTTGTAACTGTGCTGTGAAACTTTGGAAATCTGTACTGGGTGTGTAGTGAGTGTGTCATTAAACACTGAATAGGAACTTTCTGCTTAGCAGACTTCTAACAACTTCATATGGCAGTGTTTGAGATACTGGTACTTCGTGTCCACTTTTAAGGGACAGGTCATCTTCAAAGGTTAAGGTGAAAAGTCACTGGACAAAATTTAGAAAAACGGAAATGTTGTGGTTTTTAGATTTAAAATCTACAAGAATACAAAATTGTACAAATTGTTCATAGTGTGTCTGTGTACTAATGATCAAACAAGAGGCAAATAAATCTTGGTTTATAAAAGAATGTTGCCTTTGTAGCCACTGCATTGTCTAATAATGACTCGATATAACTGACAAGTCTGCTCATTGCATGTCTTCTAACAAAATTCAATACTTGTATTTTTCACAATGAATGTTGACATTATGATCCCTGGAGATGTGGAAGAGAGGAAGTTTTTTTAAAATCTGCGATTTTACCACGGCTCACCAGCTAGAAAGCTGCTAGCTTAATGCTTTCAGTTGTTTTGCAAATAAAGACCTTCTACTGCTTGCTAAACATCAGCTTCCTCCCCCTGTGCTGCATGTAAATATTGTGTGTGTATGTATTCTGATTTAAAGCTGTGCTCTGGAGCTCACATTGAAGGTGCAACAGAAATCTGCTCAGGTAAAGTCTTTAGAAACAAATGTTTACTTAAAAAAGACCACTTTTCCATGCTGTCCCATCCCAAAAAGAAAGACTGTTAGTTTTTGGTATGCCCTAAAGTTGCAGTTTTGTTGTTTCAGTTTGTTTTTATCCTAGATCCAGCAAAAAAAAGTCAGTTGGCTTGTTAACTTACTATGCTGTATGAAGTTCATTTTCATGTGGTATTTTGAAAATGAATAAAGCACATTTGTGATGAGAACCAGTTCCTATAATATTACCTTCTTTGCATCACTCTATACTATTGTAGGACTGATGTCTATATTCCAAACAATCTTTGGCAGATGCATCAAACCTTTTAGAAATCTTTCAGCAAGGTGGCTGTATGGCCATATGCTAACTTCTGTGTTAAGTCAAGATGATTCAGTAGGTGGATTAGGGTTCAGTTACCAATATGTGGAAGTCCTTGTATTTTTTTTTTCACTTTGCAGAACTCTAATGTAGAGAAGTAATGCAAATAAGTAGCTGCACAGCTACCATTTTAGCCAGCCATTTTACCTTGGATACTCATCCTCTAACTCCTCTAGTTGCTTCCTTACCTTTAGCATGTTACTTCTATTATCAGCTGTTTCTGTTTGTGTGCACACAACATCCATCATCACAGAAATGCTATACTGCCGTGATACAAACCCCACTATGATACATGGGTTCATGGGGCATCGTGTTTTCCTGTGTTTATTTCACTGAGAGGGTGTGTGGTCTCCTTGAAAAGCCCATGTTGCCTATCAATTTATGTTGCTTTTTTCACTATAGATTGGGTCAGCAACATTTTAGGGCAGAATGCCAAAAACACCCACACCCTCAACTTGCAACAACGTGTATGCCAGGGGTGGGCAACAGGGGAGCCGCAAAGGGCCCAATCCTTGTGGAGACCTTTTCTCTACCGTCCACCCTGAGGCATGCGTGTCAAGCAAAATGCCTTCATGTGCCACTCTTCGGCACCCGTGCCAGGGGTTGCCTACCCCTGGTATAGATTGTTACGCTGTCTCTATGATTTTGGACACGGTCTAGCCAAGGAACTAAGGGGTGCATACTTAGAGAAAAGGGAATGGGTAGAACTACTAAATACCTCTTCCTGTTGTGTTTCTGTAGCAAAAAGAATTGCCACTCCCAGACATGCAGGCAGAAAACGACATTACTGGGTTTGGCACCCAACCCCTATGTGAATGGCATCAGAGAAATGGCTCAGCAGGGAGCCCTGATAAAAAATTGCAAATTCTTTGATTAAACCCCCCAAAATTGGTAATTAAAGTAAAAGGCCACTTGGTAATTAAAGTAAAAGGTATCACTTTTACTGATACCATATATAGGTATCAGTTGAACACCATTTTTTCTGGACATATTTACAATTTTAAAGCAGTTTGGAAGCCTACCAGTGCCTCAGTCTCCATAATAAATTCTAAATATCTATAAATCTTGGTATTTGAATTTGGGTTTTTTATAGACCTGTCAATTGCAGTTAATATGTGTGATTAACGTGTTAATTGGATCTTGTGTTATTTTTTTAACATGTTAGTGTTAAAAAAAACGTGTTTCTGGAGCCCATCAACACAGAGGACTGCCGGACAACCCAGGCGCAGGCTCCAGGCAGCTGCAATGGGAGGGTGGGTGTGCAAGCACACAGACGCAGATGCACACGAGCAGCTGCATGCAGACTGCACGCTGGGTGTAGAGCAGCATTGTGCCAGTAAGTCTGTGGAGGGGGAGGGGCAGATCAAGGGGCCCCATGGTGAGGGAGAGAGCGAGGCAGGGGCTGGGGGGAATGGGGGGCTAGGGCGGGTCATGGGATGGAGATGTGGACAACTTATCCAGAGGTGCTGGGGGCACAGCTCCCTGCCACTGCACACCCCTGGGGGAGGCATAGGGAGCACATGCCCCCCCACCCCCCTATTTGTGTGCAGGGTGGAGGCATGCTGCCTTCTGTAGATGCAGCAGTGGGGCCAGTGGCGTGGGCAGGAGATACCTTGCCAGGGCAGTGTGGAGCTCGCAGCAGCAAGGAGCTTTCCCGCGCAGCCCTGCTTTGCCCTGCAGCACCGGGTCCCACCCACTGGGCCATAGAGACCCCAGGGGAGGGCAGCAGGATGGGCAGCCCAAGCCTTCAGCAGTCAGCTCGTGCCCGCCCTACATACAGATCAGGTGCACGGGACCCCTCAACCTCCTATGGAAGAGCATGCAGCGGTGGGAAGCCAGCCCCACCCCACAGATGAACTGCCCGTAGTCCCCTCCTGCTCCTTGCCAGGGCCCTGCAGCCACGCATTCCAACTCCGGGCCCCAAGCCCCATCACCCCCTGGCTGGGCAGCAGCCCCAGCCCTGCCCAACTCACTCCTCTCCCTATGGGGGCCTCAATTTCCACACCCCTCCCCCCAACCTTACCTGCAGGAGCTGCTCTCCAGGCTGCCTAGTAGCCATGTGCATGTACATGCATATTGTGCCTCCTGCCTGACGACCCTCCTCCCATTCCTCCCAGCCCCTTGCACGTTGCAACTCTGCCAGCCTTCAGAGAGCTGTTCGCAAAAATACAAAATCCATGGGTTTCTCCTTTAAAATGAAAACTTCCATGTTTTCCTTGGGTAAAGTGGGGAATGCATATTTTTTTGTGTTTCCCATGGGAAGCAGAAAACCCGAGTCCCTGCTCGTCAGCTAGAGGAATGCCAGATGAAGTTTTTAGGGAATTCTGAGACCCGTGAAGCAATTAGGACAACATTGATTAGGGACATCAGGGGGGTGGGGATCTGGCTTGGAGTTATTTAGGAGGCGCTCTGTCTGAAATGCCTGGTCATTTGGATTTTTCTCAGGCTGGAGAAGGATCCAAGATCCTAGCAGCCAGGTAAGGTAGAATCAGCAGGA